ACTACGGTCTTGCTAGTTCGTTGCTTGCGTCTCGACTATTTACCAACATCTTTTTTCATGGTGCTTGGGAGACAACGGTCTCAAAGAAGAACACTGGGATTCTTAGAGAGAGTAACCTTTTGAACTCACTTTGACGAGCCTACGATGTTTTTGAATATTGTTTCGCTTTTTTTAAAGGACTCGAAAGGCAACGATCTCTCGGTTCTCTGTTGTCGCTTAAGTAATCGACCCCCAAACTTTAAATATAAAGGATTTATGATTCAAATTACTTTAACCAAAATGTGACATTTAGAACTGTTAAATGAATTTTTAACCGAAAATTTGCTATCTATCCCTTCTTCTTCTCTCTCTCTCTCTCTCTCTCTCTCCCCCTCTCTCTCTCAATCTCTTTCACACACACTTTTCTTCTCTATTTATTTTAAAAATTATTATTTTCTAAGAAATATAGTAATGGTGACGATACAACTTGACTTAAAACTTGTTTTTCATTGTTATTTATACACAATTCAATACTATTTATTTATATTACAATTCAAAATAATAAGTTTTAATGAAAATTGAATGATATTGAACGTTATGATATATTGTAGTTGTTGATTATTCAGATTCTGTTTTAGAATGATCATTTTTACTATACATACTTATTAAATAACTTCCTGTGTGCGTAACTTGAAAATGAACGAATTCTCAAACCTGAATCTTAAAATTTAACCTTTCATAGAGTACTATCGACATATGCAAAAAAAAAGTTAAAAGAAACTGGTGCCCCGAAGTAAAATACAGCCAAATCAACACAAAGAAACAAATTAAGTAAAACTCATACCGAATACGAAGCAGATACTTTATCGTTAGCAATACGTGTACTAAAAACTGCAAATCGTGTTCTTATCACTATAAATATCAAGATTACAATTACCTACCGCTCGATCGACATTATATTTTCACTGAAACATATTACGATCCAATCGCTTTCAATATAATTAGCGCAACGCTAATTATACGGACCATGTTCCAATATTACCGACTAACACGTACGCATCTATTTATTCACGCAGATAAGTTTTATCCGTAAAATGTTTTTCACCTCCTCGTGCAGCAGTATATATTCAGCGTTACTTTTACTGCAAAATATTAACGCGTAAGAGAGAAAGAGATAACAGTAACCAAAAAAAGAAGAAATAAAATAAAAGAGAGAACGAAAGCAAAACTTAAAGTGTCGCGCTTCTGAACAGAGTGGATAAGAGAGTGTGTGCGCGCAAGTGGGTGAAAGAGAGAGGGTGATAGAGAGAGTGAGAGAGAGAGAGAGAAAGAGAGAAAGAGCGAGAGTGAGACGACAAGTCTAGAGAAGAGGGAGAGGTGACTGCGCAGAACGTATAGCACGCACACAAACGAAATTCCACCTCCACTTTGCTCACCATCACCAATGTCGTCCCATAGGAGCGAAGCGGCCGATAAAATGTGCGAGAACGATAAGTCAGTTAAGTGTGAGAACGCCGAGGAAGAGGACGTAGAGATGCTGGATCAGGATCTGCTCGAGGATGCACCGTGGAAGCTAATCCAACGGAACACGTTCACGCGATGGGCCAATGAGAAACTGAAAGTTATAAACAAACGAATCGACGATTTGGAGTGCGACTTATCGGACGGCCTTATATTGATAAGTTTGATCGAGGTGCTCGCGCAGAAGAGGCTACCGAGGCACAATCAGAAGCCCACCTTCAGATCGCAGAAACTCGAAAATGTGTCAGTTGCCCTGAAATTTTTGGAGGATCAAGGAATAAGAATCGTCAACATCGGTAAGTACCGGACCCTTCTTTATCAACTGGCTTTCTTAAGAGGACTAAGGATTTCAATTTGTTCGTCTCGCGAGAAAAGAGATGAAAGGCAGATGAAACTGAATGCGATACGTTTAATATTGACTGAAACACGTGTCGAATTCTTCTGCGAGCTTTTGTTATTTGTATCGGTGGCTATTCGCCGATTTGGATGAGCTTCGAATATGTTGTTGGCGGATTGATTTTGAGCAATTTTTCTTCGTACATGTTACCGCCGCTTGGCTGTAGTTCCGCGGATATCTGGAGAAAGCTTTGACAATTATTTTGGAGTTTCGCCTTTTCGTTGACTGAAATCAGTGTAAAGTATATTTTATATGAATTTTAGCTACGTTTCTTTATACGTACAATCGCTGTTCTGGAATAGTTTCTGAAATATTCGCAGATATATATTCAGTATTACATACCGTGGTTTGTGCGCCGCATGTGAGTTAGGTTAATTCAGCCGGCTAACTGTTAGTGTTAAATTTCAGAATTATAAATTATAGTTATTGTTTTATTTGTATCTAAATCTAAATATAAGTAAAATCTAACTCAAATTTCATAAAAATTTCACTTAAACCTTAAAACATTGCAGAACATTAAGTACTCTCATGCTGAAAATATTTTTGCGCATATTTTGTAGACTATAGCTGAGCAACGATAACATGTATAAGGAAAAGTTTAGAATGATGACCGTGGTAATATGTTTTTAAACCATCCAAATCGATTGAATTAAATTTCAGATAAATTTTCGTTTGTTCGTGACAACGTTGAAATTTTAAATATAAAGTTGTCATTTAAAGTTCGATGTTGTGTGGAATTATTCGTGAAATAATTATTCAATGATACTTTATTTACAAGTAATGTGATTAAGATTACTTTTCTCTTATGATCAGAATTTTAAAGTTTTCAAGGTCACTTGAATGCTGCTGATACGTATCATACATATTTCATTATATGAATAAAAGAAATTTCAAATGCAAATTATAATAGTTTTACCATGCTAGCCACCAATCGACAGTTTGCTGCTGTCAAATAATTTTAAATATTAAATGCTACATAATGTAATATCGGAAGGAAGGCAACGTTTTTCATAAAAATTACGACTGAAGGATGTATTCAAGACAATATTTACATTTCAGTACGAATTCCTTGAAAAATACGTTTAATGTTACGGTTATGAGTATGATCTACAGTCAATGGACAAAACTTAGTAAATATTTAGTGAAATAACTTGAAATGACTGATAAGTAAAAACAATTATAAAAAATATCAGTATCATAATTGTAAAAAAAGAGATTACATTTATAGATAAAACTCTTTTGCACGTGTCAATTTTCATTTTTACTAAATTTTCTATTCATATTGGCTTTTAATTTCTCTCCTTTCTCAAACAAATTGCACGAGTACACAGTTTGCATTTCACTGGCAGATGTGCAGCTGGGATTGCTAACTCTTTATTTGAGCTTTGAAAATGTGTTTTCTTTCATGGGAAGTTCTAAATGAACAAAGTGTATTTTTAGAGAAAAATTTGTTCCATAAATGATATGTTATAAACAATAATCAATAAACAAAGTAATAATTAAAATTTCATTTACAAATAATTCATTTCAACTTAAAAAGATAAAATAATTGTTTATTTAAGTAGATATTATATAAATATTTAAATAACTACGAAAGTACTAAATTAAATAAATAATTATTACACGCAACAATATGAATTTACTTTTTCACGTGTGTGCAAAAGTACCTTCTTTTTATGGAGTCGTTTTTCTTTGATTTTATAATGTCAGCACTAATATCGATGGCGTCAAAATTTCAATATTAAAGAAAATCGCAATATTGCAGATTAATAATTATCGACGCGTACGTGACCAAAATCGAAAATTGCTTTGCAAGCGCATCGGAAATTAAGCTCGGAAATAACACCTTGCAAATTACAGTCGGAATATCGTTTTCATAGAATTATTGCTGCATAATTCTGTCAGGGAAAGAAAATCTCACGGAATTACGGCCAGAATATTGTCATTCTAGAGCACTGTCAGAATTTCGATCCTTTCACATTTACTGTCAGAGATTTCTGAAGAGAATAGAAAGAATTTAACTTTGTGGTCTCCATTCGTTTCCTCCTAGGAATTGTGGTCAGAATTTCAAACATTCCAGACTGTTAGTTTGTTAATAAATTAATTTAATTTATTTATAAACGGAATTCTTGAAATAAAAGTATACCATTTAATCTAATATTAATTTCGCGTAATGTAAATTCATTTGAACCTCTGTTACTGAATAAAAGGTAAAAAATGAAACAGAGAGAAAACATGAATGATGAGATAAAAATTGGAACAATGATGAAAAATCGTGAAATTAACATTTATTTTCTTACGATATGGTATTTCATTACACAGCATAATTTATTAAACAAGTATACACTTTTTAAATTTTTCATAGATATTTCTTTGATTTAAAAAATGTCAAGGCATACAATCAGCTGATTATCGAGTTTGTATACAAACAGCAAGTCAGCTGTACTTCGTTGTTGTGCAAGTGTCAATAACCCTATGCAAAGAAATATAAGATGATAATCATAATAATAATGTAGTGTATAATACATCTTTGAATTTATAGTACACATATTAAAATTAAAAGTTCTACATTGCGATATTTTTTTATGGAATACTTCATAGCATAAACAATTGATATTATGAATTGCAAAATAACACTTTGAAACTTTATCCATATGAAGTACCGATTTAACTGTTTTTAGTTTTTAATTTTTATGTATGTGTATCCAATACTTCCAGCAAAAATCAATGAAATGGATAATAAATGAACGACGATGAAAAGAAAGACTGATTTTCTCGAAATATTGATTAGTTGACTTGTGCTCTTTTGGAATTTATGGCTTCAATTACAAGTAACACAACTATAATATAACCGGTTATATATTTCAGCTTCAATTATCGTTATTGTATTCATTAATATTTTATTACAATAATACACCGTTTATAACATTCTCTTATGAAATGAGCGGAATATATATGTTACGAAATTTAATGTTTCAAATGAATTTGTTCGTGGAAACATGTTCAAGTGAACTAATCGAAAAACAGTTGCACTTCTATTCATTCTTTATTACGGTCATTGTATATCATTATTTGAAACATTCAGTTAATAATTAATTCATACAATTAATCAAATCTTTATAACATTAGAACAACCGAAACTATTTATTTTTCAAATCATTTCGGATAGTTAACGCCTTTAAGATACAAATAATTGCAAAATAAGAGAACTGAAACCCGTCATATTAACGGGAGTGGTTGTTTTAGCCTTAATTATACCATTGAACGTAAAAGTGAAACTATAAACATTAGTGTCAATTTATGTCGACATTTAGAACAAAATAAAGTTGTTTTAGGAATTCAAAATCTTAATATCTTAATTCTTTTGATCACAGAGGTAGAATGTAAGAGCTATTTAGGTTGCTTTCATATTTTTGTAAATGAAAGAGAAGTAGCGATCATTATTCGTCATCTTGGAAGTTTCTCGTAACCATGAATCAGGTAGCAACTTAAGGATGTCGAATGCGTCACGTGCTAATAAAAACTCAATTAATATTTTCATGAAGATGTTACTAATTTTTCTTGATTTCTCTATCTCTCTCTCTCTCTCTCAGTATGAATTTAAATGTGACATCAGTAGTATTTTCAATAGTATATAATTTAAATCACTTAGTATTCTATATATCGTTAGTAATTGTTCATGTAATGTCGTGCCTGCTAATGCATCAATACGTGTACAGCATGCGCTTGACGTTTCAAGTGTCATATCAACTTTCACTGTTTCGTTTAGATTCTAAGTGTAAAACAGAAAATTATCATTTTAGTTATTATTACGAGTTTTTCTCTAAATTCTTTAAAGTTGAAAGCTTAAAATAATTAAACGCGGTACATATTGCGATGGTAAAAACAATTATTTTCAGAATATAATCTTTCATACATTAAAGTTATATGTTTTTTTTATTTGTAAAATCACGCATATTTTTAGAAAGAATTTAATAAATGTTAAGTACATTTTTTATTTGAAACAGAATGTACAATTGGGAAGAAAAATTCCAAATTGATTCATTTACTTATAAGGATTGATTTATCCATATATAATTATTAAATGTTAAAATATTAGAGGAAAGCTACTAGATTTATTCTTTGAAACTTTTATTGATTATTAATAAATTCAGTG